AATTTTTTCTTTAGATAGTTTAAAACATTTGTGATCACAGATTTTTTTTTTAATATATTTTAGGCTGAAAAAATATTACCAATCTAGCATAACTCTTAACACTGTTTGCAAAAAAATACATCATCCAAGTTAACTTTGTTTTTTACCGTACGGTGTAATGTTTGCCTTACCCTCAGGGCACGAAACTGATATAAAAAAATAAACCAAATAAGCAAAACCCACAAACCTCACAGACAAAGTAAGAAGTCTTCGAACCAACTTCAGAAAAACAAATAAACAACCCAAACCACCCTTCTCTTCGAAAAAATGATGAATGACTAATTTGATGTATTTATGGGCAAACTAAAACTGAAGAGTGCTAAGGAAGTAGGAAAAGAGAAAAAGAAATTACAGTATGTCAGCTAGTTCATGCCCTGATACTATCTTTACTAGCATTAAATGTGTAATTAAATAAAGTGTCTTTTAATGTTTTACATTGTGCTCAGTAATTTACATAAATTTAATCTACACCCGGGTGCTGATGTAGATTTACATTTGATTGTCTTGTGCATAAACAAGGTTAGCTTTTAAAGAAGGTAAACTGTGCAATGGACAGTCACAAACTACTTATTACCTGCACAATATTGCTTTTTGAAGGCGACATCAGTCAATGTGGATACACACAAATAATGCATACTCTTTGCATTTGCTAACATCTATACGACACACTAAAACTTTGTGATAAGGCCAAACCTTTTTTTTTTGTGTTTGTTTTTAATTTTAAAGCAAAAATATACCATAGTAAAAAAATGTGCTCACATCGTTTTCAGTCTTTAAGTGGAAAATAAATCTCTATCACACTAGAATAGAATTCTCTCTACAAAATTTAAATACAGATCACTTCATTGCTATATCAAAAGGAAACGTCTGGCAATCATTTCCAGATGATCACAATAACAAGACACATTAAGAGGTCCTGTCGCCTCTTCCTTTGTGAAAAGATAAACGTCGAACACTTTCAATTGCTCTCACAGTGAGAGGAATATGTTCCTTGGTTATGGATTTTGATTCAGTCAATGAAAAAGGTTTAGCCTTAGGAATGCTGGCTACATCTCAAAACCATAAGATTGATTTTTATAATTTATGATTCATGCAGTAAGAAGTCAATATGACACATACAGGTTAGAGTTCCATAGCATAAAAATACATCACTAGCAATGACATGCTCCGCTTGTGATCAACAGCCCTGTCTTGGCAGATTTCTGATATAAATGGTCTTTCTGGACAGTTTTTTCCTCTTTCTGATGCCTGCCTCTGGAGAAGCATGCAGTCTGCTCAGAGATGATTTTGGACCTTGGAGGTCTTCTAACTCTAACATCTACATTTTGGCAGAATGTAAACAAAAACCATTATCAAGCACTATATATGTCATTATAAATATAACAACTTAACGGAGATTACATATGAAATGAATATCTAAATGCACATGTTACTCAGGGTAAAACCATGAATGGTGACAATCAGGTTTGATAGGAAGAATCTTCTATGTAAGATCTGCACACAGACCACAAAGCAAACATGAGAGTTGCGTGGCACCATCAGAAATGAGACTCTGGACTGCACTGGGTAGTGCACGTTTGTTATTTCACTCAAAAGGCCAGTTTCTACAAAGGCAGCTGACCGCAGTACTGATGTCTGCCACTCAGATGGTCAATCCAATGCCTCAATCCTACAATGACTTGAGACCACTGATACTTAAAAGCGAGCATGTCTTTGCAGGACTAAGGTAAGAGTCTGCAAGAGCACCCTCATGTGTTCTACTTTTGCTCTCATGATCATATAAATCAGGAGTCATCAATGAAGTTGCACAAAGAAAGACTAGTGAGGGATCAGAGGCCATTAGACGTCAGTACATCAAGTCTGTCAGACTAAGAGCTTGGTCTTAGTTTTCAGTTGAGGAATACTATTAATCCTCTTCTGCTAATCAGTGCCAGATTCCAACTTAATCTAAAAAGCTAGAAAAGTATGTTGACGTATGTCCTTTCTGCTTAGAGCAC